GCAGGAATTTATCTCTTGGATCTGTAAGTGACTACGACACAAAGCTAGAAAGCAGTTAAGCACTAAAGTAGCTTCTCTCAGGGCTTTTCAGTAAGCTAGTATTTCAGTGTCATGTAACGGACCACCCCTAAAGCCATGAGATGATAACCTGCTCACAGACCTATGAGTTGGCTGCAACTCAGCCAGGTTAGGCTTGACTCCAGGCTCTGGATGGGGTTTCAGTCTGCTGTTTTTCTTCCTCCAATGGTTACCCAGAGCACGACCTCCTCGTGGTGAGTGACAGGAGCATACACACACTCAGGCGCTCTGCTTACTTCAGCTCCACTGTCATCCCAAGGGCCAAATAAGGCAACTTGGTCAAGCTCAAAGTTGAGGGAAGGAAGTCACACCATCTGCCAGGAAGCTATGGCTGGGGGACATGGAGCTACACAGTGAAGAACTGATGATGCAAGCTGCTACAGGCTGCATACCCTCCTCATCCTCCCTCCATGCAGACCAGCTTTTCTGTTCTTCCTATCCATGACTCTGGAATGCAAGCCTCATCGGGGCAGGATTTTTGTCTGCTCTCTCCGTGGCAGTATTTCCATTATGCAAGTTCTGTGTTTTATTCACTGCTATCTTCTCTATTAGAACAATGCCTGGTACATGGTGGACAATAAATACAACTGGCTCCCCCAAATAGTGTTCCTAGTCTTGCAAGTTATATGGTCTGGAGGCCAGTGCTCTCAAGCCAAAGTGATGTCCATGGCTTGGGGCAGGAAACAATTCCTTGTTCAACCATATGTTTTAACCAGGGGAAGACTGTGGGTAGTTTAGGACAATTCATAGAGAGTGTGGGATGGATAAGGGTATATCCCAGGTGTCTAGTCCCCTAATATTTAAGACCCTTCATGCTCTGGTCCATGTCTCCCTACAGGATGCAAGTATAACTGGTTAGAAGAACCTTGGATGGGTCCAGTCAGTGGTGCAGTGGTAAAACATGACACTGCAAAACTGACTGACATGGGAAGGTTCCCAGTTCACATCCAGAGTCCTCTCTGAGTATGCCAAGCACTCATGTGCCTGTGATCTGAGGGGTGGTGGGCAGCAGCATCAAGACCTTACTGGGGGTTCTGTCTCTCTGTTGCTCTCTTTCTCCCTTGCTCATGAAAGGAAGAAAGTGAGTAAGAAACTTTAAGGGCTGACCCTGTAGTGCAGTAGTTAACCACTGCGCACCAGAAGCTAGACCCACGTGGCTCACTACAGTTCAAATCCTGGCCCTGGCAGCATGAGAAAAACACCAGGCACATACTTATGCATACATCTTGACAGGATGGAGAAAGGGAGGAAAAGGGATTGTGCCATGACTACGCCCCATTGGGGTGTGCTCTCTCTCCAGTGAGCATACATACCCTCTGGCAAACAAACAAACAAAAATGTATTAAATAAAAAAAGAACATGCTTTAGGACTTGGATTCAAACTCTGGGTCAGCAACTTGCCACATACTAATGTAACTTTAGGCAAGTTACCTATCTACTCTGACTCATTTTTCATATATAAAAGATTAGGTCGTTGGAAAAGTCATGACACACAGAAAAATGTATAATGACTTTTCCGACAACCCAATATAATGTTCAATATTCCACACATTTAAGATTTCCTGAACCCCAATCAGAGGTTGTATGTTAATGCCTATGGTTGCTTTCTGCATATGCTTCTTTTAAAAAAGTATATAAGCAGAGAGTGAGATTTTAAACCTTTTTCTCACTAACACGTCAGGGTACTCAGTAACTGAAATTCAAAGCTGAGGCCATGGGAAATGCTGAAGATAGAATGGAAAGTCTTTTGCTCTGCAAAGATGGATCTGCCAAAAAAAACAAGTAAGTTATATCCCGTTAGCTATAAAGATATTTTAAAAAGGGGGTGAGGGAGAACATATCTTTTTCCTAAGTGGTATAGGTATTTCAAATATCAAACTCAAATTTATTTAGAAATAAAATATATGTATAAAATAAATGTAACTCAAGTTCTCTTGCAATTTTTCTGCTCCCCTGCAAAAAAAAAAGAATGAGTTTTCATTTCATAAGTACATATAACTTCAAATTTCATATTCTTGCTTCTGGAAATGGTACCATTTCTCCAACTGATTGAAGCGATAATTTTGTAAGTAAATTCTTCAAACTGTGTAGCATTTTAAGTTTTATCATTAATCATGTTTTTTTTAAAAAAAACTTTATTTTATTTATTTATTTTAATTTGAACAGAGAGGAACAGAGTGAGAGAGAGAGAGAGAGGGAAAGTGGGAAGAGCAAGCTGCCAGATCTGGCACTTGAACTGCAGTTGGCCATGTGGGAGTCCAGCGCCCTTAACCACCATGCCACCTGCTGACAAGCTCATGATTTTTTTTTTTTTTCAAAAAAGCTGTTTATTACACAGATTTAGGAAGTTTTCAAGCACATCAAAATATAACATCTCATAATGTTACAGTTGTTACATAATGTATGCTGAAGGGCAGTTTGTAAAAAAGTCCGAAGTTATTAAACTCCCTCAGTCTTAATTTTAAAAATCTAAATTTGTTCAAGCAAATTATTTTCTGAAATTCCACCACTGGAATTTTGTTGAAAATAGAAATTTTTATTGGCATACTTGTATCAAAATATTATCACTTCTAAAAAAAGTGGAAAACAACATTAAATGTAACAAAGCTGAACTAAAAGCAGTAACTGCTTCTGAGTTGTTAAGAACAATCTGGTGAGGCAGCAACACAATTTATACTCACAAAATGGCTCATACAAATTTGCCAGATTGTGGCAAACCCCATGGATTCATTAGCCAAAGCAATCCACATCTCCCTTTTCTCTTGCCTTCCCTTCCTATAGAAGCTAGACAGGAAAAATAAAAGGACGAGACTTCAAATATGTGCAGCTAAGGATGGCCGTGCAACAAGGGTCTGGCCAGGAAGGGCTGTTCTCTCCAAATAAAAAGGCAAAGATGTACTAGGAGGCACCCTTTGCCTCTTTCTCCTTTTCCTCCCCAAATGTGGATGAAATAGCCAGAGGTGGAACAGCCCCCTGGACCATAAGACAATTAACACAAACACAGAAGATTCCATGGAGACCACGTGGAAAGGTGAAAGGAGTCAGGTCTCTGAACTACAGTATCAGGTATGGACCGCCCACCTCTGGGCTGACTATATATAAGATAAATAAAAGATATCAGATTAAGCTACTACAGGAGGGTTTGCTCTTACTGCAGCCAAATGCATATGTAATAAATAAAAAGACAAAATTCTCAAGTAAAAGAACATCTTTAACCAATTCTTCAAATATCCTAAAAAGAACCTCAATGAAAAGACTACATTTTTGTTTGCTTCAACAGAAGATTATGATACCACATAACTAACATAAAAAGGGATGAAATTCCAAATACTAATGCCAAATAAAGTAAGATAAAGCTGGGAAAGGAAGCGGGGAATGAGTGTAACACCCAACAATTCTGTCTACCATGGGCTTCATCTAATATTTCCCATATGTCAATGTCAATTGTCAGTGAGGAAAATAAAGTTTATTTCTTATGCAGAAGAAATTCCAATTCAGTTTTTAAGTCTGAACCTTCAGACTTGGGAAATGATCCTCCAGGTCACCAGCAAAAGCTTTATCAACTTCCCGTAGGATTTTAACGAAGTCTTCCACCTGGGAATCAAGCAAGATAATATGCAAATAAATGTGGAAGACGAAAAGGCAGTTTATGATCATTGACTGCAGACTTTTAAAATGCTCTACCCGGAGTCTCTAAATAGTCCAACGGAAAAGAGAAGCTGACCCAGCCCTAGATGGCAACAGTACTTCCTAACTGTCCTCTAAAGCATTTCCGAGGAAACGACCAGCCCGTTCCATTTGGTTCTACTCTTGAGCAAGCACTTACTCTCTCCCTGCTTCCCCTGCAGGGTCCATCCCTGCAGTTTCATGTCCACCCTCCTCACTGACATGTCCCTCACTCTCACATCCGTAGGGAAAAGAATGAGTTTTCATTTCATTTGTACATATAACTTCAAATTTCATATTCTTGCTTCTGGAAATGGTACCATTTCTCCAACTGATTGAAGCGATAATTTTGTAAGTAAATTCTTCAAACTGTGTAGCATTTTAAGTTTTATCATTAATCATGTTTTTTTTAAAAAAAACTTTATTTTATTTATTTATTTTAATTTGAACAGAGAGGAACAGAGTGAGAGAGAGAGAGAGAGGGAAAGTGGGAAGAGCAAGCTGCCAGATCTGGCACTTGAACTGCAGTTGGCCATGTGGGAGTCCAGCGCCCTTAACCACCATGCCACCTGCTGACAAGCTCATGATTTTTTTTTTTTTTCAAAAAAGCTGTTTATTACACAGATTTAGGAAGTTTTCAAGCACATCAAAATATAACATCTCATAATGTTACAGTTGTTACATAATGTATGCTGAAGGGCAGTTTGTAAAAAAGTCCGAAGTTATTAAACTCCCTCAGTCTTAATTTTAAAAATCTAAATTTGTTCAAGCAAATTATTTTCTGAAATTCCACCACTGGAATTTTGTTGAAAATAGAAATTTTTATTGGCATACTTGTATCAAAATATTATCACTTCTAAAAAAAGTGGAAAACAACATTAAATGTAACAAAGCTGAACTAAAAGCAGTAACTGCTTCTGAGTTGTTAAGAACAATCTGGTGAGGCAGCAACACAATTTATACTCACAAAATGGCTCATACAAATTTGCCAGATTGTGGCAAACACCATGGATTCATTAGCCAAAGCAATCCACATCTCCCTTTTCTCTTGCCTTCCCTTCCTATAGAAGCTAGACAGGAAAAATAAAAGGACGAGACTTCAAATATGTGCAGCTAAGGATGGCCGTGCAACAAGGGTCTGGCCAGGAAGGGCTGTTCTCTCCAAATAAAAAGGCAAAGATGTACTAGGAGGCACCCTTTGCCTCTTTCTCCTTTTCCTCCCCAAATGTGGATGAAATAGCCAGAGGTGGAACAGCCCCCTGGACCATAAGACAATTAACACAAACACAGAAGATTCCATGGAGACCACGTGGAAAGGTGAAAGGAGTCAGGTCTCTGAACTACAGTATCAGGTATGGACCGCCCACCTCTGGGCTGACTATATATAAGATAAATAAAAGATATCAGATTAAGCTACTACAGGAGGGTTTGCTCTTACTGCAGCCAAATGCATATGTAATAAATAAAAAGACAAAATTCTCAAGTAAAAGAACATCTTTAACCAATTCTTCAAATATCCTAAAAAGAACCTCAATGAAAAGACTACATTTTTGTTTGCTTCAACAGAAGATTATGATACCACATAACTAACATAAAAAGGGATGAAATTCCAAATACTAATGCCAAATAAAGTAAGATAAAGCTGGGAAAGGAAGCGGGGAATGAGTGTAACACCCAACAATTCTGTCTACCATGGGCTTCATCTAATATTTCCCATATGTCAATGTCAATTGTCAGTGAGGAAAATAAAGTTTATTTCTTATGCAGAAGAAATTCCAATTCAGTTTTTAAGTCTGAACCTTCAGACTTGGGAAATGATCCTCCAGGTCACCAGCAAAAGCTTTATCAACTTCCCGTAGGATTTTAACGAAGTCTTCCACCTGGGAATCAAGCAAGATAATATGCAAATAAATGTGGAAGACGAAAAGGCAGTTTATGATCATTGACTGCAGACTTTTAAAATGCTCTACCCGGAGTCTCTAAATAGTCCAACGGAAAAGAGAAGCTGACCCAGCCCTAGATGGCAACAGTACTTCCTAACTGTCCTCTAAAGCATTTCCGAGGAAACGACCAGCCCGTTCCATTTGGTTCTACTCTTGAGCAAGCACTTACTCTCTCCCTGCTTCCCCTGCAGGGTCCATCCCTGCAGTTTCATGTCCACCCTCCTCACTGACATGTCCCTCACTCTCACATCCTCTACTTCATTCTCCTAAAAAGCTCCAATTTCAAAACTGCCTCTTCGGACAGCAAACATGATGTCTTTTTAAGAACTATTCTTATTTAAGAATCTTACTTTTGCTTAATATGGTGGGTCATCAGAAAAGTCATGATGTCTTTTTCTGAGCAAAAATGCTTCTTTTCCAACCCAATACACTGTCTGCTTCACGGCAGAAAAGAATACACCTACAAATTCCGTGTTGAATCCGACCTCACAGCACTGTTACTCAGACCATGCTGAGAATTAACCAGCAGCCGTTTTTCTGACAAAGGCCTTACACGGGGCAAACTGTGTGCACTACCTTTCTCACACTGGCCTTAAATATCAAGTGCTTGGGTGAAAATACATTACCTAGTAATCTTACGAAACTTGGCCACCCACACGTGTTTACCCATACTCACCACAGGGCTGTAGAAAGGAAGAAGATTTTGGAATGCAGAGGAACATTTCTGTTTGCTTAACTGGCCCTCTTTTAGTCCTTGAGCCACGGTTTCCTTTAAAAAAAAAAAGGAAAAAAGAAAAAGTTCTAAAGCCGAATCTGGTAAATACAGATCAGTATACAGAAATCCTTACTGGTCCGACAGGAATCTACAGGAATTCCAATGTCCCGAAACAACACACCACCACCACCGAAGAGGTGAAAACATGCATGAAACCCAAACGTGTGCTCCACTGTGCGCCTTACTTCAGTGCAGGGCGTCCACCCACTCTGCTACACAAACCAGAAACCCGGGCACAGCCACGACTCTTCCTTCTCCCCTGCTACTGACCCCTCCCGGAGTGTTCAATCCTATTCTGTGGAACCTCTTTCTTACCTCACTCTCCTCTCCACTCACACGGCCATAGTTTAGGCTCTCTTTATGTTTCACATCATTCTTGAGGACTATTCATCACAAGAGCCTCCTGGATGATCTCCTTGCCTCCCATCTCCACTCTAATTCTCGCTCTCTATTACTTTTGGATAATCTTTCTAAACCGATCGTATCACACGATGCTTAAAAGAAAAAAATCTTTAATAGCTCCTCAGTTTCCTCAAGATTAAGCCCAAGTTCCCTCAACACGGCACATAAGAATTCTCATAACACAAGAAATTATGATGTGGTTTGTTCTCAGCCCGCTTTCCTTCTATACCCTTGCCATTTAAACAATAAGAGATATCTGTTCTCTCTCCCCAAAATAACAAAAGCAAGAGCAAAAAATGGAAACCACTTCAGATGGATATATAAAGGATGTATTACCCAAGAAGTTCATATCAATCATTAAATGGACACATTGACAAACCAGGAAATATAACATACCAATATATGGAAAAATTTGCAACCTCATTAATTTAAAAAAATTTAGATCAAAATAAGGCACAATTTACCATCTGTTAAAACTTACTTGGGGGGCCAGCGAGTGGCATAACAGTTACATCACTGGACTCCCACATAGCTAACCACAGTTTGAGTCTCAGACCCGATGGCTTAAACTCACGCTGGGGGTGTGTGTGTGTGAGTGTGTGTACCCAAAATCCCAAGAAGAGAATGGAAGAGAAGGGACTGTGGCATATCCATCTCCTTTGGGGGTGCTTTCTTGCTTTCTGTCTCTCCTGAATATATACTTGGTAAGAAAACTATAATACCCAATAATAATAGCCAAGAAAAACCAAAATTTTCATCCATGATCCCTCAGTCATTTTCACATCTAAAACATTAATCTACAATCTTAAAAGCCTATCTTAAGGTAATTCCAAATCTAGAAAATACAAGTATAGAAAAAAGAAACAAGGGAACCAGCAATTAGCGTAATGGCTATGTCGCTGGACTCCCACGTAGTCGACCGCGGTTCGCATCCCGGACTCGGTGGCTTAAAACTCACGCCAGGTGTGTGTGCGTGCGTGCCCAAGATCCCGAGAAGAGAATGGAGGAGAAGGGATTGCGGCGTGACCATCCCCCCTGGGGGGTGATTTCTCGCTTTCTGTCTCTATGTCTCTCTGTCTGTCTGGAAAGCGCACGTACCCTATAGCAAAAACCTCTCCAAAAAAGAAAAAAGAAACAAGACAAATCATCACCAAAACAAACAAACAAACAAACAAATCACTACAATAACAGAAACTGTTTTTTAGAAAGTTCATTTTCCCTTTGTGATAGAGCATTTGTCTATAGGTGAAAGGTGGTGGGAAAGAAAGAGAAAGCACCCACAACAGAGCCAGATCACATGCAATCCTTCTTCCTCTAATTGTCGAAAATTCCATGCCATTATGATCCTGGGCATGCATGTGGCACCCGGTCTGCTGCCACGTGGGTTAGGACTTAAACCCTAGTTGGCCATGTAGGATCTGGCTTCCTCTGCACAGTGCTTAACCACTGTACCATGGGACCAACCCACAGAAACATTTTTTTTTTTTTTTTGGGGGGAGAGATTTTTCACTGTAGGACGCGTGTGCTCGCCAGACAGACAGAGACAGACATAGAGACAGAAAGCGAGAAATCACCCCCCAGGGGGGATGGTCACGCCACAATCCCTTCTCCTCCATTCTCCTCTCGGGATCTTGGGCACGCACGCACACGCGCCCGGCGTGAGTTCTAAGCCACTGGGTCTGGGACACGAACCGCGGTCGACTACGTGGGAGTCCAGCGACATAGCCATTATGCTAACTGCTGGTTCCCCCCACAGAAACATTTTTAAAGAATATTTCTATAAAAAATTCAGTGACTGAGAGCCAGCAAGTGGCATGGTGGTTAAAGGCGCTGCACTCCCTCAAGGCCAACTGTTGTTCAAATCTCGGGCCTGGCAGCTTACTTTTTCACTCCCCCTCCCCCTTTCTCTCTATCTCTCTCTCTCTATCTCTCTCACTCTGTCCCTCTCTGGTCAAATTAAAATAAATTAATTAAATTAAATAATTCTTTTTATTAAAAAAAATTCAGGGACTGGCAGATGGCGTGGTGATTTGAGGCGCTAGACTTCCACATGACTGACTATGGCTTGTGTATGGCTTGTGTCCCAGACCTGATGGCTTGCTTTCTCTTGCTCTCTCTCTGTTCCTCTCTGGTCAAATTAAAATAAATAAATAAATTTAAATAAAATAATTTTTTGAGAGGTTTTTTTTGCTATAGGGCGTGTGCGCTCACCAGAAAGAGAGACAGAAAGCGAGAAATCACCCCTCAGAGGAGATGGCCACGCCACAACCCTTTCTCCTCTATTCTCCTCTCGGGATCTTGGGCACGTAAGCACACGCGCTTGGCGTGAGAGAAGCCACCAGGTCCGGGACTCAAACCGCAATCAACTACATGGGAGTCCAGCGACATAGCCATTACGCTAATTGCTGGTCCCAATAAAATAATTAAAAAAAAAAAAAAAAGAACCTCAGTGAATAGGGCTGGCAGGTGGCGTGATTAAGGCACTGGACTCCCAAATGGTAGACCACGGTTCGAGTCCCAGACTTGGCAGCTTGCTTTCTCACTTCTCTCTCTCTCATCAAATTAAAAAATAAAAAATAAATTAAATTAAATAATTCTTTAAAAATTCAGTGATTACAAGTATATCTTTATAGTTATATTCATATTTTTACTAAGTATACAGATAAGAATATGCTTAAAGGAAAAATATGCCAATAATCACTGAATATTTGTAATTTTTTTTTTTGCTATAGGGTGTGTGCACTTGCCAGGGAGATAGAGACAGAAAGTGAGAAATAATCCCCCAGGAGGGATAGCCACAACATAATCCCTTCTCCTCCATCCTCCTCTCAAGAATTTGGGCACACATGTACACCCACCCACCATGAGTTTCAAGGTACCAGGTACGGGACTCAAACCGCAACTGGCCATGTAGGAGTCCAGTGACATAACCATCACACCATCTGCTGGCCCCTCAATTTTATTTTTTACAATAAAGAAAATTTTGTTATTGTAGTAAATTAGGTTTTTTGGCAATTTATCTTATTTATTGTTTCCATATTTGTATTTTCCAGATTTGGCGTTAAACACATTTGCAGTAGATAACTTTTGAAAATTGGCATTTGGCAAATTACATATCAAATAAACTGGCTTTCAGGGATCGTTCAGTAAATTCATCTAGAATAAAAAAATATGCTTACAATATAGTATTAAGTGAAATGATCAGTCTATAACAATTACATATACTGGGTTAAAGGATTTGAAGAAAGCATTTATAAATACATATTTACAAATGGTGATACTAGATTTTTATTTTCACAAACTTCATAATATAGTTATACTATTTTCACATCCAAAAGAACCAACAGCAGTAAGAGTAAGGTTTGGAGCATTAAGCAAGATATACTTTGTTTTGCTAAAGGCAAATACTTCTTTCCTACCTTTGTTAATGCCTGGAAGATATTGGAAAGAAATTCACATGAAATATCCTTTAAGATTTTCAAGTGAAAATCATCTTGTGTCAAATCAGACTTTTCAGTTCCTTCTGTGTTAGGCTCTCCTGAGTTCTCCAGTTTCTTCTGACAATGATCCATATTTTGTAAGACCCGAATCAAACTGTCAATCAGAGGAAGATCCACTATACAAACAAATCAAGAAGCATGGAGTCAGCCCTGAGCTTTTCATACATTCACTCACAACACTGAACTAGTACTAGACGCCATTTTTAGGTGCTACGGATGGAATGATAAACAAGATCAGGGCCTCAGCCTTCAAGGGGCTTACTTTTTTTTTTTTTTTTAGGTTTTTGCCATAGGCCATATGTACTTGCTAAACAGAGACAGAGACAGACAGAGAGAAGGAAAGTGAGAAATTACTCCCCAGGGGCATGGTCATGCTGCAACGTCCATTCTCCTCTCAGGATTTTTGGGCATGCATGCACAAGCGCCTGGTGTGATCTTCAAGCCGAGTTGGCCATGTGGTAGGAGTCCAACACCTGAAGCACCATACCACCTGCTGGCCCCAAAAGGCCTACCTTATGTTTTTGGTTTTTTTTGAGAGAGATTTTTGCTATAGAGTGCGTGCACTCACTTGCCAGAGAGACAGTGAGAGACAGAGAGACTGAAAGTGAAAAGCCATCCCCCCAGGAGGGTGGCCATGCCACAATTCCTTCTCCTCCATTCTCCTCTTGGAATTTTGGGTATGCATGCACACATGTCCACCAGATCCAGGACTTGAACCGCAGTCAACTATGTGGGAGTCTAGCAATGTAACCATTACACCCCCTGCTGGCCCCAAGAGGCTTACATTTTTATACTTACAAACAATTCATGAAATAAAACAGATCATTTTGGTTAAGTTCTATAAAGGCAATAAGAGAGAGAGGTTTTTTTTTGCTATAGGGCATTTGTGCTCGCCAGAAAGACAGAGAGACAGAACGCAATAAAGCCCAGTTAGGGAAACCTCTCTGAAGAGGCAACACTAAGATGAGAACTAAAGGAAAAGAATTATCAGCAATGTCAAAGACCCAGAGAGACATTTCAAGCAGAAGGAGTATGTGCGAAAGCCCCAGAAAGGAAAGATCATGGGAAGTCTGAAGAACACAAAGCAGGTCAGCATGGCTCTAGCCTGGTGGGCCAGGAAGGGGCAGTACAACCCAGGGTAGGGAAGTTAGGGAAGAGTCCCATCATGTAGATTCTTAAAGTACACAGAGAGAAAAGTATCTTTTAAAAATATTTTTAAATTATTCATTTATTTATTCATTTGTTGTAATTTTCAAGCAGCCAGGCCCAGGACTCAAATCGTGTTCGGCCAAGTGGGAATCCAGCACCTTAACCACCATGCCACCTGTTGGCCCTGAGAGAAGTATCTGAGTTTTAAACTTTAACTATCATAAAACCTTAAACAGAGTTTTTAAATGTCTTACTATGTCAAAATATATTCAAAATATTTCTTTGAAGACTGAATAACTAATTAGCCTATAATAAAAACTACATAAAGCCCAGATACAAAATACATGTTATAGCATGAACATGCTAAAAGATTCTTCACTTTAATTCAATCAGTGTTTTTTTGTTTGTTTTTTAATTTCTTGCCTTTTTTTATTTTTTGTAATTTACTTGCCGAAGACAGTAGGGGGGGGAGAGAGAGAGAGAGAGAGAGAGAGAGAGAAGTAAGAAACCATCTCCTTGGGGGAATAGTCACAGCGTAATTCTTTCTCCTGTATTTCTCCTTTTTGGATTTTGTACATGCACACACATGTGCCTGGTATGTTTTTCAAGCCGCTGCATCTGGGACTGAAACTATATAGTTGGTCATGGGGGGATCCGGCCACCTAAAATACCATGTCACTGGCTGGTCCAACTATCAGTGATTCTAACTTAACCATTTCTGCTTAAAAATTACAAGTCTAGCAAAAAAAAAGTTTTTTATAGCACTGAATCAAGTATATTGATTTAAAGCAACCTGGGTCCAGACACAGTGTCACAAGCAGGAGATCATGTGGGAAGATTCTGGATTCACATCCCAGGTATACATGAACCACACCTGCAATCTGGGCTGGCTGCAGGGATGGGGTTGGCTTGCGGTGTGGAGAGACCCTGTCAGGGACCCACATTTCTGTCAACCTCAAAGGAAATAAGTGAACTTAAAAGGGGGGCTAGTTGGGAGCATGGTGGTTAAGGTGGCTGAATCCCACATGGCCAACTGCACGGTTCAAGTCCCAGATCTGATGTATATGTATGTCTCTTCAAATCCCCAAAGGAGAGAAAAATGGAGGAAAACAGATTGCCGTATAAACATCTTACCTGTGAGGTGCTTCCTCACTGCACCCACTCACCTCTCTTTAGCAAATGCATGTACCCTCTGGCAAATAAATTTAAAAGAAGTCTAACTTCAGATCTAAATTTAAAGTATTTACGGTATGAGAAGATCTCAACAAGTTCTTGGAAACACATAATTAAAGTACAAGTTTATTTTGGTACAAAACAAGTTGAAATATATGAATAGCCTTTTTTTTAGAGAGTGTTTTGCTATAGGGTGTGTGCATGCACAGAAGAGACAGAGAAAAACAGAGACAGAAAGTGAGGAATCACCCTAGGGGGGACGGCCATTCTCCTCTCGGAATCTTGGAGATACAACACACATACACCCAGCATGAGTTTTAAACCCCGGGGTCTGGGACTCGAACCACAGTCAACAACATGGGAGTCCAGTGACACAACCATTATGCCAACTGCTGGTCCCTAAATAAATAATTCTTTAAAAAAATCTAGTAGACTACAATTTCATTTAGTGACCCAAAATGATACTTGCCTTTTTCTGTCTTTAGATATTCCTGCTCAGCCCGTGAAGCATAGATGGCCAACAACACTGAAAAAACAGAGGCTAGCACTGTTTTCTGTTCTTGAAGTATGATGGGGGGATCATCAGACTGGCAGAATTCATGGCAGACCAGGTCAAAAAGTAAATTCCAAGTGTCTTTTCCAGTGTCAGGAGACTGTACTTAATAAAGATGATAGACAAAGTAGTAATTTAAAAACAACAAAAAAGTACATGAGTAGCTATAGCGCATCCCAATAACCCATCTTACCAATCGCTTGAATTCCATCATCTACTGTGGTAAGCAGCTGTAAGATATGCATGTAAACATCAAGGCCTTCTAGATTTTCAGAACTAAAGACAAAAGGCAAAAGCACTGAATCAGTAACTTTACTATCTAGAGGACGTGAATCATTCATTCATTCAATATTTACCACTGTGTGTTAGACATTGCCCAAGATGCTAAGGTTAGAAGAGGAAGTGGGCCAGTGGTGGTGGCACAAGCAGTAAGACATTCCACTATACAGTACTGGAGTCAGCTGGGAGGCCTGGGTTTGGATCCTGGATCAAACTAAAAATACGCTAGGCATAGGGGTTCATGCCTATAATCCTATCTAACTGGGACATGGGGGTGGAAGATCACAACATGGTAAGACTGTCAAAAATCCTCTCCCAGGGCCAGCAGAAGGCATAGCGGTTACATCACTGGACTTGACATGGCCAAGTTCCGGATGTGGTGGCTTGAAACTCACAGTGGGTGCATGTGCACTGGGTGCATGCTCAAGATCCCAGGAAGAGAATGGAGAAGTGATTGTAGCATGGTCAACCTTCACAGGGGCTGATTTTTCACTTTCCCTGTCATTGTGTATGTCTCTGTCTCCGGCAAGCACATGCACCCTAAGGCAAAAATCTCTTTAAAAACAAAATAAAAACAAAAACAAACCTCTTCCAATCTATCTCTCCTTTAAAATGAGAACAAAAAAAGGAAAAAAATCTTGGGACCAGCAGGTGGCATGATCATTCCATTGTTGTAATCCACATAGTCAATTATGGTTTGAGTCCTGGACCTGGTGGCATGTGTGTGTATGCATGCCCAAAATCCTGAGGGGAGAATGGAGGAGAAAGGATTGAGGCATGGCCATCTCCCAGTGGGGTGGGGTGGGGTGATTTCTCACTTTCTGTCTCTCTGTCTCTTCTCCAGCAAGCACATGAGCCCTATAGCAAAAATCTATCTTAAATAAATAATTCTGTGCTTATTAGAACTTACATTCAATGGAAAAAAGAGTCAAAGCAAAAACAAAAAAAAAACAAACCCACAACTATTATGTAATATAATCCACACACACAGGATGAGAAGTAAAAATGCCTTTTGACCCTAGCCCATAAAGTTAACAATGCAGAAACTTACTAAGTGATACTTCATCATTCTGCTTTTCTTGAATAAGAAAACAAAAAATGACTGAGAGCTGGCTGGCCCCATAGCACAGCAGTTAAACACTGCAGAGGAAGCTAGATTCCACACGGCTGATCAGGGTTCAAGTCTTGGTGGGTTACACACTGGGTGCGTGCACACACACACCTGGGATCCTTACGGGACAGAGAACTGGAGGAAAAGGACTGTGGTGTGATGAGGCCCTGTTAGGGGGTTGTTTTCTCTCTCTAGTTCCCTTATCTCCTTGCCCTCTGGCATTAAAAACAAAACAAAACAGAAAAACACTATGATTTACGTAGTATGATTTTAGGGCCCACTGCACCAACTATCAACTATAACATTCTTATAACTCCACAAAATTATCCTAGATTTCTAGTTCAGAACACTAAAATCATGTAATTCTGATAATCGATAGTTTGGATTCTCAGAAATCCAAAATCTTACTCAACCAAACAATTAAGTGAAAAAGACAGTGAATAATTAAAACAATGGTTCAGCAAATATTTAATAGTACCTAGTGGGACATGGTCATGCCACAACCCTTTTTCCTCCATTTCTCCACCTCATCATGATTTGGGGCACATATGTACACACACTTGGCATGGGCCAGGGTTTGAATGCAGCTGGCCGTGTGGGACCTGGTTCCCTCTCCACAGCACCACAGTGCTATGGAGCCAGCCCAACAACTGTGTGCTTTGCCAAGACGGTTTTAAAGTTGACTCAGAAGAAGCAACAAGACTTGGAGGTTGCCTAGCCATGAGCAAAGAATGCAGGGAAAAGTCAGCAATAATGCCTTTCTTCAATGGAAAATGACTGCTTTATTTACTAAGACTGAGAACACTGAGGCAATGAGAAAGATACTGAGTTTAATCCTCACTTGAATAAAAACCATAAAATTAACAGGTTTTAATATGGCTTAGTAAGTACTAAGATTGCACTACTGATCACTACCCGGATGAGTTCAAAAATTAATTTTCTAGCACCTAGAAATAGTTTCAATGGCCTATAAAACCTTGTAATCACTCTTGGCAAGACATTAGGGCCCCCGAATCAGTCAGTTATCTGAGACTGACATTTATACAAATGGAACAAGAAAACAAATGATGCCCAATACTAACGGAAGAAGTCGTTAAATGTTCAATGCAAAATAAAGCACAAGAAGATCTTTCCCCTTTGACTTAAGTTACAGAAAACTGCTGATGATCTTATGATAGAAACCATAATTAATGTTGAATAGTGGCCTACAGATAAATAAGAACAAGAACTTTGTAACTATTATCATTCTTGTATAAGCAAATACATTGTCATAATAATTATGAGTAGTGAATCAAACCTAAGATTGGTTGAGGGGCAGCTGCTGGTGGGATGCTTAAGGAAGCTGGATCCCACGTGGCAGGATGTGCAGTGCGAGTGCTAGACCCTACAGCGTGCCAAGTGCATGTGCATACATGCCCTAAATCCCAAAAGGAGAAATGGAGATGGGATTACGGTATGACCATCCCCCTCGGAAAATATTTTCTGGCATTTTCTTCCCCCTCCACCCTGTGCCCCACCAGCATATGTGCCCTCTGGCAAATTAAAAATAAATATAAGATAGATAGACATAGATTGTGTAGTTCATCCTATTGAAAAGAAACCAAGACTTTGACATTGAAAGATACATCCAGTAACTGGATTTTCTCAGGACATTTTACATAAAAGAGCTCACCCACCGTACTTGTTTGGCGGCTTCAAGTACACAGGGCACAATCCTGAACACTGGCTGCTCTTCAGAATCATCCTGGGGCTGGTCCGGCGGCTGAGAAGCCCCATTTCTGATCCATTCCAACATTAATTTTTCATCCAAATCAAAAAGCTTATCTACAACCTCCCCTACCTTCACCAACAAGTCAACTGCAGAGAATTAAACAGACATTGAAATGAGAAACAAAATCTCAAAGATTAAGCAAAACTCCTAAAGCTATTCCAAGAAAGCCAAATCTTGCCAAAGCAGACTTATACCAAGGACACTTTTTTAATCCTATTTTTAAATCTGCTTATCTTTCTTTATTTTTCCCCGTGTGTCTGTGTGTGCATGGTGCTTTAAATAGGCTCTCACTGGACATGATCTTCCCACATCAGTCTCCAAGCAGTGGGGACTACAGGTACATACCACTGTGCCCAACTTTTTTATTTTTTAGAGAGATATTTTGCTGGAGGGCATGTGCAGTCACTGGAGAGACAGAGAGACAGAAAGCAAGAAATTACTCTCTTCCCAGGAGGGACGGCCACACCGCAATCCCTTCTCTTCCATTCTCCTCTCAGGATTTTGGGCACACACGCACACTTGGCCGGCGTGAGTTTTAGGCTGCTAGGCCCAGGACTTGAACAACGGTCAACTACATGAGAGTCCAGTGACATAACCATTATGACACCTGCTGGTCCCCCACTGTGCCCAATTTTTAGTACAGGCTGGGAACTGAACCCAGTCCTCTGGTGTGGTTTCAGCCTGCCAAACAGCAGCAGCCAGCACACTCCACTGCAGCTAGGCCTCTTCCTTGTTTCAAATGAGGAGTTTATCAGTGTCCTTCAAAATTTAAAAGGAAATTTTACATCTTGAATCAAAATACTTTTCCACTTCACACCTAGACTTCTAGAAATAATCACATGCTTTCCTAACAATTAAATATCATCTAAAACACTTTTTCTAGTTTACATGGTAACTTACCATTTGTTGAACTTGACATAATGAAGCAAATACTATCATAAATAGCTGGATACTCTCGGATCCTTTCAACCCAGACACTGGCTACTTCTGAATGGGAAAGGCAAGTAAGCAACAACCTAGGAGATAAATGTGAGCGTAATGACTCACTTTCACAAACAGTAAAAGACACTTAAGAATGAAGAATTAACTCTATTTTTCGATATTCCTTTATGGGTAATTGTAGAGAATTCATTAAAAAAAAAAAAAAAAGAAAGAAAAGAAAAGCATACCTGCTTGTCTCCAACAGAGTAGGCGGGTCTGAATCATACAAACAGTGCAGCAACACCTGCCTGGAAAAACGAGGACATTAAACCATGCGCCTCCCTTCTCTCACTCCAAATATTAGCTTTCATTAATTTTGTAAACATTTTTATTATGGGGCCAGTCAGTGGAATGGTGGCTGACTGCGGTTCAAGTCTTAGACCCAGAAGCCTGGGGAACACACCAGGCATGCATGCATATGTGCCTAGGGTTCTGAGAAGAATGGAGGAGAGAGGATCACAGCCATCCCACCCCAATGCTTTCTCACTTTCTCTCACTCTTCCTCTGAGAACCACACATACCCTAATGCAAAAATTTTTAAAAAATATATATTTTTGGAGTCATGGTTAAAGTACTGGACACCCACACAACTGACTGCAGTTCAAATCCCAGATCTGGTGGCTTGCTTTCTCACGTTCCCTCTCTCTTTTTCTGGTGAGCGCATATTCCCTACAGCAAATTTTAAATAATAATAATAAGTAAATATTTTAAAATATGTGCATTTTTATTGTGAAATATATAAAATCCTACCAAATATAAATCTAGGGCTAATATATAATTACAAAGCAAACACCCATATTTCCAAGAAACTGAACACTGCTATGTCTCTTTAGCCACCACAAACCCATCCCAATTCACAATTCTCTCTCTTATCCAAAAATGATTTCCCTCTGACTTTTCCAGCAATCATCTCCTTGCTTGCACTCCAGTTTCATTATTTCCTATTTTTAAATTTTGAACTTCATATTAAGAAAACTGTTTTACGCATTCTTTTGAGCCATAGTTTTTTGCTCAAAATCAAGAATGTGAAACTTGCCTATCTGGTTCTAAGTTTTTTTTTTTTTTTTTTTTTTTTTGTCACTGCTGAAAAACATTCCGTCATGGGAATATAACATAATCTTTGCAGACTGCCATGGTGGACATTGGGGCTAGTTCTAATGGGCTCTTTGGAGCAGTGTTCCTGGAGTGGCAGCGCTGGGCCATGCATACCCTCCTCATCCAACTGACCAGGCAACACCGAACTGTCTGAAGTGACTGAATAAATTTACACCCCATTAGCAACGTAAATTACTCCACATTAACTAGAGATAAGGATTTAACTAAAATACCAAAACTTGCTAACAGTTCTCATCATCAGCTTTGGGATAGAAAACACTAGAGACTAAACATAAGCCTAAGTCATTTGCTCTATGAATGATCATAAATTACTGGGGATAAATTACTAGAATCTTAATGCCCCTTCACCCCTAGATGAGGCATCATCTTTTAGATGCTTGAATCCTCTGATAACATCACTTAGCTCCAGTTCCAATAAGAACCTTCCACATAGTTTTCTGACAAGTGCACACCACTACACCTGACCTGAGGGTGGGCAAGGAACTGGGTCTCCTGTTACAGCCTCAGCCTGCCAGGGAGCAGCCTCTAGCACATGCTCCCATGGGAGAGCTACAACAGTTTTCTTAACCAGTTATTGTCACCGATGTCTTTGAGGTTCTGATGAACATGAACCCTTCCTAGAAAATGTATAAGCCCACAATACAGCATATAATTTCAAGGTATTCCTAGACCTCTTCAAATACTCGCCAAGGTTTCCACTATGAGAAAGCCCTCTGTCAGGGCCAGCATGGTGGCATGGTGGTTAAGGTGCTGGACTCCCATGTAGCTGAACATGGCTTGAGTCCCAGATTCGTGGTTTGCTTCCTTACTTTTCCACTCTCTGTCTCTCTGGTGAGCATACATACCCTATAGCAAATTAAAATAATAACAAATAATTATATAAATAATTATTAAAACACACACACACACACACACAAAAAAAAAAACCCTGACTTTCTTGCATGTTTAAGAGAATTAGTATGACAAAAAAAAAAACCCTGACTTTCTTGCATGTAGAAGAGAATTAGTAAAGGGCTGTGGCATGGTGGTTAAGGTTCTCACATGGCTGACTGCAGTTTGAGTCCCAGACCTGGCAGTTTGCCTTCTTACTTTCTCACTCTGGTAAGCACATATACCCTAGAGCAAATTAAAATAACAGTAATACTAAATAAAACTAAATAATTCTTTAAAATAAAAATAATTAGTATGAAAGTCTTTTAGGGATGGCCAGATGGTGTAATGGTCATCCATGTTGGACTCCCACATAGTTGACCATGGTTCAAGTCCTGGACCTGGCAGCTTAAAATTCATGTCGGACCTGTGTGTGTGTATACCCAAAATCCTGAGAGGAGATGGAGAAAGGATTGTGGTATCATCATCCACCCAGGGGGTGATTTTTTGCTGTCTCTCTGTCTCTCCACTAAGCACATGTGCCCTATAGCAAAAAAAAAAAAAATCTCCCTGCCCCCCCCCAAAAAGAAAGAAAGAAAGCCTTTTAGTCAGAGATGACCCTGTATCTTCTAGCCTGTTTGGTAAGTCCTACCCCTTGACTGAAGTCAGAGTTCTCAGGGTGACATTGTTCAACAAATCTCATTTCTCTAGACTAGCCCTCTGGATCCTTGGATTCCCTACGCCTAAACTGCTTTGGATTCTGGTCAGCTACCCCAATGTCCAAGTTTTACTCAACTGGTTCTTCCCCTAACTAGCTTACGACTTCCTGACCGCTCAGGTCCCTTTGCTACTGATGAAGAAAACAGGCTTAAATCCTGAAACACATCCATGAACAGTGTGGAAGCCCCTAGCTACCAGCAATACACAATGAAGTTCCAAGAGAATGTTCATCAAGACAAAGGAAATATATTGCATGTTTTCCTCTCTCCACTGGGGTTAGAACTTCTACAGGAATATGAAATAATCTTTTTTTTTTTTTGGAGAGGTTTTTGCTATAGGGCGTGTGCACTCGCCAGAAAGACAGAGAGAGACAGAGAGACAGAAAGAGAGAAGTCACCCCCCCGGGAGGGAAAGCCACACCGCAATCCCTTCTCCTCCATTCTCCTCTCGGGATCTTGGACACGCACGCACAGGCGCCCGGCATGAGTTTAAGCCACAGGGTCCGGGTCTTGAACCACGGTTGACTACATGGGAGTCCAGCGACATAGCCATTACGCTAACTGCTGGTCCCGAAATAATGTTTTTTAAAAACTACTTTCTTTATTCACAGTACAGTGTGAATAGCCCATGCATGTGAAAGTGGTGAGGGGCAGGTCAGAGGCATGTCCACAGGACCTAGTTGTGCCACAATCCTCTTTCTCTGGTCCTCTAGCTCCCAGGATCTTGGGCACTGGCGTGTTGCCTGGTGTGTTTCAGGCTGAACGAGCTGAAGATTTGTGCCATGGCCTCATATGCTCTTCTAAAGTAGCACAACACGACTGCATCACAAAGTCAGCCCAAATATGAATCTTGTTTTTGTATTTTAGTTTCTGCAATAAGGTGTGTGCGTTCACCAGAGAGAAAAAGACAAAGACAGGAGAGGGAAAATGAGAAAGCACCCTCCAGGGATGACAGCCACACCACAAACCCTCCTCCTCCATTCTCCTCTCTGGATTTTGGCCACACACACACTGGCATGTTTTCCAAGCTGCTAGGTTCAGGACTCAAACCAAATCAGTCACCTGGGGGCCAACACCTGCCTGGCCCAATATGAATCTATTTTTAAAAATGTAATTATTATGTAATAAGACTTACCCAAGATTTTTATCGCTGCTGATGGACACACATATCTCCTGGAAACATGCCATATTACCTAAGATTCCCACACAGATTTCCTGCCAAATGAAATTCCATCAGTCACATGAACGACATATACACAAAAATAACAACTTGGGAAAAAACTGTCAATGAGACAAGTTTGGGGGGGGGGTGTAAGGAAAATACAGAAGTGCACTGCTTGCACCCTAACCTTGACAAGCCTACAGTATCTGAGGAGGAGGAAAGACACAAGAAAAAGAAAAATCAGAGGCTATGACAGAAATCTCAGCAATGAAAAGGGCCTTAAATGGTAGGATTTAGATATGCAAGTGAGAAAAAGACAGTCAAGCCAGGGGAAAGGATCAGCAAAGGCAGGAAGAGAATACTGTACAGGGCTAGCACCGTGGGCAGTAAACAGAGCTCTTAGCTTCCGCTGCTGAGGCACAAAGTATAAAGAGGCAAACCTGACGGCGACTGAAACGGTCCAGGGGAAGGGCTCTAAACGTCACCATCTCTGAGGGTCTTTTGGTGCCAGGAAGGTGATTTAGAAGAGGAAGACTGGAAAGTAAAATATGGGAAATATAAAACAAGAAGAAAAAAGCCAATGAAAGTGATAGAGAAGTGTCAGGGAAGCTGCGGTTTCAACATAAAGTGGGTGGTCAAACGCTAGGATAAAGACTGAAGGTGAGGTCTTTATGGGTATTCTTTATTCATCTTTATCTAATGTTATTGCCATTTAACCTGCCACATGTTAGGCACAGATGGATAATTTATAAATATCTGCTGAATAATTATCTTTATGAATAAATGCTGTTCTTGGAAGTTTATGCAGCAATGACCACTGGGCTAACTTATTTGGGAAGGTGTGGGAGGAAAGGACCATCCTGGATAACAGATGTGAACACCGAGGGGACGGAGGGTGCACAGAGGGACAGAAGGCACAGAGATGGCGCTCATAGTAAGCTGGTGAGATGAGGAACAGACGGGCCTGCCTGAACATGAAGGACTCTACAGAGGGTAGACTATGCTGGAAAGATAAGTTAGGTTCAGACTGTGAAGTCCTGAACAACAGACTGAGTTTAGAATGATTTTTAAGCAATGGGAGATTTTGTGAGTAAAAAAAGAGCAATGATGCAGAAATGGGAGTCCTGTTCTGCCACGTCACCACAAAACTGTGGTTACTGCCTTGGTGGTGCCCACAGTTATTAAAGTACTGACTTCCCTGGTCAGCCCCAATCTGAACATAGATGATTCCAACCATCTTAAAAGCACATTATCTGGACCAACCCAAATGTCTACAGATGAATGGATTGAAATATTGTGGCACATACACTCCATGGAATACTATTCAGCCATAAAAAATAAGGCCCTGGAATTTGATAGAAAGTGGACGAATATGAAAGATTTGCTGCTGAGTGAAGCAAGTCAGGCTATGAAAGAGAGACACTGTATATCTCCACTTAACATATACCAACTGTCCGCACTCTATGATAGAGATTGAAAGACTAGAGAACATAAAAGCATTAAAAACTGTAAAGTGGAAAGAGAGTGTGGGAGGGGAAGAGCATAGGAAAGGAAATTTGGAGAAAAAAATAGAAAGGTAAGATACTTCTGGGACACGGATATGGTTTACTATCTATTGACAAGGACGTGTACAGTATTCTTGACTGGGCTGGACTGAGGTGTACCTCATGCTTCGTACAGTCTTGTTAGAATATAAATGATGTATAGCAATTGAATGTATGAATAATAATACTAATAAATTTTTTTAAATAAAAAATAAATTGAAAAGAAAAGTACATTATCTGGTACCTGGCAATGTTCAATAAACATCTGCAGACTGATTTGTTGATGTAAAGCCAATGAGAAATCGAAGTGAGAAAAATAAAGACTATCCAGCAGTATCTGCCACGATGGCTCCAAAGAGGAAGGCTTTAGGAATAACTATCCATATACTTACTCTTAATCGAGGACACTTGGATTTGGCCAGTACTCCCATAAATATGTCGGGAGCTTTAAATTCTTGGAGAAATAAAGCCACATCCTAAAATAAAAATGATTATTAACTTAGATGCTGATAGTCTTCTTTAAACCTCATAGCTTAGGCAATCATAAAAAAATTAAATTCCATATTTACCACCTTTCAGACGTAAGAAAAAAACAAACCATGAGGTTAGGAATTTGTGTCAACCAGGCAAAAGTAATGTTAGACCCATGACAGTGGAATGATCCTATAAACAAATCTAAACTGTGATACTCCAGTGGCTTGTCCTCCTCCTTTTCTGCCCTAAATATATTAGCCTGAATAATTTTTTCTACCCACCCAGCACTCTCATTAACTTCTTCAAACACATTTGCCAATTGCTGGGTATGTAAAAACTGGGGATTAGAGAAGAATAATGCTCATAATTCCTGTCCTCCAAGAGCTTAAAACACAATTGGAGGGCCGAAGGTGGCATGGTGGTTAAGGGCGCTGGACTCCCACATGGCTGACTGCAGATCAAGTTTCAGACCTGGCAGCTTGCTTTCTCACTTTCTCTCTCTTTCTTTCTCTGTCTGTTCCTCATTGGGCAAACTAAAATAATACCTAAATAAAGTTAAATAGAATAATTCTATAGAAAGTAAAAACACAATTGGGGGAACAGGTGAAAACTGCTGTCAGGTCATGTCCAAAATCAGAATTATTTTTCCAAATTCTCAACGGAAAAAAATTCTAATCACAATGTAACTGCAACAGCCTCACAATCTCTTCCTAGAGAGTCTGCCCAGGCCAGAATATCTACAAGTGCCACCACCCAGGTGAAGAAAAACAGAGGGGACATGCAACCTCAGGTGGGTCAAATCTCTCTTAGGCACATTTTGTCAAAAACTTAATCAATTAGCTATAGGGCTTAGATGTTCATATACATAAAATTAAGTTTCTGGCTGTCTACTGCCTCAGAGTCTCACCAAACCCAAGCTGTATCATCAAGATTTTGTGTGGCAATATGGAAAAGGCAAAAGAGAATACAAGAAAGATTTTAATCAAGAATCTACTGCAGGGAACCAGCAGTCAGCGTAATGGCTATGTTGCTGGACTCCCCCGTAGTTGACCGCGGTTTGTGTCCGGAACCCGGTGGCTTAAAACTCATGCCGGGCGCGTGTGCGTGCCCGCCCAAGATCCCGAGAGGAGAATGGAGAAGGGATTGTGGCGTGACCATCCCCCCTGGGGGGTGATTTCTCGCTTTCTGTCTCTATGTCTCTCTCTGTCTGTCTGGCGAGCGCATGCACCCTATAGCAAGAAAAAAAAAAATAAAAAATAAAAATATCTACTGCAAAAGTCCAGATAATAAAAAAAGAGAAATTACATAAATCATTTCATCTCTTTTGCCTTCATTTTCTTTCCTCTAGAATAAGGGTACCACCCATATCCCTGGATTATCGTGACGAATTAGTGGAATAATACATAGGAAAATGCTTTCAAGCTATAGAGTACAAGTATTATTATGACAATTATATTAATGCAATAATTCCTTGTCCTTTCTTTCTAATACAATCATGGTACAGAGGTCTTCTAATTCTTAACCTGCACTCAAACACAAGGCCAGAGTTCTCCTTAGGTAGATAAGTGGCAGAACTTTCCAGGGCTATGGGTGGTCTAGTACTCATGAGAACTATAAATCCAATGAGAGCTCGATCCTCTCCCCTCAAAGATACAAGTAATAACATGTATAGTTTCTGGGACCTCATTCCTTCTACCATGGATGGAAGTGACTAGACACTAAATAAACCCTTTCCCTAGAGAATGGATCTTTTAAAACATCCAGTCACCATCTCCTCACTCAAAAGTCACTTCAGAGTTTTCTTTTCAACCTCATACCTCATCCATCGACATATCCCATACTCTGCAAATTTCATTCTCCATTTCTTCCTCAAGCTCCATCTGCTGCTCTTCATCATCCGAGCTGGATTTGGAGTTTTCGGGGCTAACCATCTTCAGACACACAAAAGAAGAAATGAAAAAACACTCCCAGTCCTCCCCAAGTACTATCATCCCACCATCGTTTGAAGCCACACTTTGAGGCCATCTTCCAAGTATCTTTTCCTGCAAAAACCTCAGTGCAGATCTAGGTAGATCTAGTCATGCACATTCATGGAGTAAATACTGTGGCTAGGTACCAGGTAAAAAATGCAAACATGAATAACATACCATCTCTTGCTTTCAAGGGATTACAGTGGGGGTCCAGTGGGGAAAACATGTAAACTGATGGTCACAACAGAAAAGGTTAAATGGTTTAACTGAATTGTGGACAAAGAGCAAAAATCATGAGGCCACACAGTGCCATATGATTAAGGTAACTGGATCCCACCTGGCTGACTACCTGGTTCAAGTCCCAGACCCGTGGCTTGAAAAGCTAGCAAGTTTGCATGCATGCCCCAAATCCTAAGAGAACGGAGAAGGGACTGTGGTATGGCCATCCCTCCTAAGGGGATGCTTTCTCATTTCCCTTCTCTCTGTCTCTCTCTGGCAAATGTTACAGTATGTACACAGCAAATGAAAAAAAAAAAAAAAAAAGATAAACCTATAAACCTATTCCCAGGACAAGTTTAAGAACACTTCTCTTAAAAGGAGACATTTAAGCTGAATCTTGGAAAGAGAACAGAAGTCTGTCATGTGAAGGAGGGAAGATCCTTACTTCTGAGTAAAAAAAGGGCCTGGTGGGACTAGCAGTTGGTATAATGGCTATGTCACTGGACTCCCACGTAGTCGACTGCGGTTCAAGTCCTGGACCTGGTGGCTTAAATTCACGCTGGGCGCGTGTGCGTATGTGCCCAAGATCCTGAGAAAAGTGGAGAAGAAGGGACTGTGGTGTGGCCATCCTCCCTCGGGGGTGATCTCTCACTTTTCGTCTCTCTGTCTGTCTCTCTGGCAAGCCCACCAGCCCTATAGCAAAAACCTCTCCCCCCCAAAAAAGAAAGAAAGGGCCTGGCATGTTTGGTGAATGGTGAACAGCTGAGTGTTGATGGAACACTCAGCTATTCACCTATCATGGACTGATGAGGTTGCCAAAAGCCCTACATTCCAAGCTGAGTAGTGTGCATTTTTCTCCGATAGGAAATGGGAACCAAGAGGAGTATCATGAACAGTCCCCTTTTTAATTTTTTAATTATTATTTTAAGTTTGCTATAGGGCACATGTGCTTACCAGAGAGAGAAAGAAAGAGAAAATGAGAAAGCAAGGCATCCAGATCCAGGACTCGAACTGCAGTCAGCCAAGTGGGAGTCCAGCACCTTAACCACCATGCCACCTACCATTCCCCAGTCCCCTTGTTTAAAAAGAAGAGTATTCTGGCAACTATGTAGAAAATGAATGAGATAGGACAGAGGTCGGAAGCAGGGAAACCAGCTAGGGAAATTTTTTTTTAGAAATCTCACTTTTTTCTCCTATGAGCAAACATAGGAAGCACTTTATGGCCATTACAACCTCATTGAGCCTACACAACAACGCTATTAATCTCATTTAACCTACATTAATCTATATACAATAACATAGGTCTTATTAACTTATTCTATAGAAATTGAGAGAGAAATCGATTAGGGGACTTGTCCAAAGTCATGCAGCTGACTTGAGTGGTGAAGTTGCGTTGTTATCAGCGCTGACTCCAAAGTTAGTATCTATTACAACGAAAGTCCATGAAAGATAAATTAGTATCTAGGCTGCAGAAATAACCGTGGGGATGAGGAGAAAATGTACTTTTGGAGAACTTGCAAAAGTAGTACATGATAACCGCAAACATCCCAGCATCCCGGCCCTTAGAAGCCCCTTTGCGTTGAAGGGCACTGGGGTGGCCTCGGGCAGTTCTGGGGGCCGCAGAGGTGCCCGGAAAGCGAGGCGAGAGACCCCGCAGCGCGCGCCCGGGAGGGTGGTCGTGGCGACCGCGTCTCCGGGGCAGGAGGGGCGGCCAGGAGGGAGTCGGGATTCCGGCGCGCGTTTCCTGACCTGGATGAGCCCGCTCAGGACGCCGAAGAGCCAGTGCTTGCTGTACACCGTACTCCCTATGCAGTCACCGCCCGC